GATTCATTTCGGGTTTGAAGCAGGACATTAAATGCGAGGTCCGGCTGCGACTACCAGCGACGTTTCACGAAGCCGTCCGGATCGTAGACAACTTCGACGCACATCGGACGTATGCGAGAGCGGGTTCCCGGGAGGGAAACCGTTTTCGTGGCCAGAATCCACGGCCCACGATTCACGGCGTAGTGGCGAAGGAGCACATGGACGATTTTTGCAAGGGACAATGTTTCAACTGCCACCAACCGGGTCACCAATCTCACGATTGCCCCCGAAAGAAGCAGATAAAGAAGAACGATGAAGACAGGTCGGGAAACGCCAAGCGTCAGTAGCGGTCGGGCCCCCTACTGACCCTGTCTCCTCACCCGAAAAACAGCATCCCCACCGAGTAGTGGTTCCGATACATGCTATCAACCGCTCCCGGCTGAAAAAGGAGGATGACCCAGTGGACCACCCTGTACTGGCGGAAGGACGACTTCATGGAAGAAAAATAAATATATTCATCGACGGAGGTGCGAGTCACAGCCTGATAAATCGAGAGACAGCACGACGACTACACCTGACGCTGGAGCGGTGTCTACCCGAAATCGACGCCCGATTGGTGGACGGCACCCCGCTGGCGATACGCGACAAAGTACCTGTCGTTCGAATGAAGTGGGGCAAAGATTTTGGTTTCAGCGCGCCGATGCTGGCGACAACGCTCGACGGCTACGACGTGCTATTGGGACGCGATTGGCTGCGAAGATTCAACCCGCAGATCGATTGGACAACAGGCGAGTGCACAGTGAAGTGCGACAAAGGTTGGCGAAAATTACCCACGTGGCCGGAAGCAGAGACAACATCGACACGAGTCAACGCGGTGTGCCTCAATCGAGCGGTCAAGAATGGAGCGGAGTTATACGCCGTCCATCTAACCGAATCAACGGAGCAGAATGAGGCGACCGACATCAACAAACTCTACGCCTCGGTCCCGGATGACTTGGCGAACATCATTCGAGAATATCCTGAGATCTTCCCGGACGACTTGCCAAGTGGACTGCCACCCGAACGACCCCAGGACCACAAAATCGAGCTAGAGCCCGGCGCGCAGCCTACTGTACGCACGCAATGGCGTCTGACTCAGCCGGAGCTACAGGAGTTACGAAACCAGCTGGACTACCTCCTGGCGAAAGGGTTCATTCGGCCGAGCACGTCCCCGTTCGCAGCACCGATCCTGTTCACACCAAAAAAGGACGGCGGACTTCGCATGTGTACGGATTATCGTGCCCTTAATCGGGTAACGATAAAATCGCGCTACCCAATCCCATGAACGGACGAACTGATCAACAACCTTCGCGGAGCTCGCTACTTTTTGAAGATCGACCTTCGTGGCGGTTAGCATCAAAATCGGGTGTTCGCTGACGACTGCCATTAGACCGCGTTTCGTACTTGTTACGGGAGTTACGAATACACGGTGATGCCGTTTGGATTAACGAACGCCCCTTCGACGTTTCAACTCACCATGAATGGGGTATTCCGCGATCTACTCGACAAATGCGTAATAATTTACCTGGACGACATCCTGATCTACAGCAAGACCTGGGAGCAGCATTTAAAGGATTTGGAAGCGGTTTTTCAGCGGTTGCAGCAGCATCGACTCATCACCAAGAGCTCCAAGTGCGAGTTTTTTAAACAAGAACTGGAGTTCCTGGGACACGTGATTTCCACGGAAGGGATTCGCATAGACCCGAAAAAACTCCGGGCTATTCAGGAGTGGAAACCGCCAACAAATCTGCAGCAGCTGCAATCATTTTTGGGTTTCGTGAATTACGTGCGACGGTTCATACCCAACATGGCGGGGTTAACTGGACCTCTAACCGACCTACTGCAGAAGGGAGCTTTTTACGAGTGGGGGGAGAAGCAGCAAGCTGCGTTCGCGGCATTAAAAACCCTTTTAATGTCTCCACCGGTACTTCGCATCGCTGACCCGGAAAGGCCCTTCGAAGTCATCACCGACGCAAGTGACATCGCCATCGGAGCCGTGCTCATGCAGGATTTCGGCAACGGGCTTCAACCAATTGCGTACGAGTCTCGGAAAATGCAATCTGCTGAGCGCAACTACCCGGTACACGACAAGGAGATGCTGGCGATCGTCCACGCGTTCAAAATCTGGAGGTGCTACCTGACTGGAGCAGACGTGACGGTGCGAACCGATCACAAATCACTACAGTATTTGCGGGCGCAGCCGAATCTCAACCCGCGGCAGATACGCTGGCTGGACTACCTGGAGTCCAATTTCACGTACAAGATCACGTACAAAAAGGGCGCCAACAATATCGCCAACGCTCTTTCCAGACCATCTACCCAACTCGCAGCAGTACTAGTCGCCCAGAGCAACCCGCTACTGAGTGGACTATTTACCCACGGGTATTCGACTGACCCCTTCTTCGTTAACGACGGCCATCTCCCAATCAGTACACGGAAAGGCGTCTATTACTTACGAAGCGGGACTGATCGAATTTGGGTCCCAAGCTATCGTCTACTTCGCGAATTATTAATTCAAGAAGTCCACGATTCGAATTTATCGGGACAGTTTGGGGTTGATAAAACTCTGAAGGCGTTGCAGCGGTTTTATTACTGGCCATATATGGTGACGTACGTGCAGCGTTACGTGGCCGCGTGTCCGATCTGCCAGCGAATGAAGTCGTCACACCAGCGACCTACAGGACTGTTCCAACCCCTCGAGCCACCTCAACGCCCATGGCAACACGTAACGATGGATTTCGTTACGGGACTACCGGCCGGACCTAGCGGAAACGACGCGGTTTTGGTTGTCGTCGACCGATTGACGAAAATGGCGCATTTCGCACCATGTCGTACAACCATCACAGCCGAAGAAACAGCGCGCCTGTTCATCTCGACCGTTGTTCGCCTACACGGGATAACAGCAGCAATCATTAGCGATCGAGATCCGAAGTTCACGTCAAAATTCTGGCAGGACACGTGGGCTCGGTACAGCACGCATCTACAGTTCTCATCCGCGTATCATCCCCAAACGGACGGCCAGACAGAAAGGACAAATCAAACGATGGAGCAGCTGATTCGGACAAACTGCCCCGACCGGAAAAAATGGGAGGACGTGCTGCCCATGTTGGAATTTTCCTACAACAACGCGCCCTCATCTACGACTAATCACTCCCCGTTTTATCTCAATTACGGGATGGACCCTACAGTGCCGATCTCCACCAACGTTGAGAGTCAATTACCCCAATCGCAGCAGTTTGTCGAAGAACTACAGACTGCCCGAGACAAAGCTGTCGAACTTATTCGCAAGGCGAACGTAACTGCCCGACGGTATGCGGATTTACATCGACAGGATATTACAATGGCAGCAGGGCAACTAGTCCTTTTGGACACCAAGAATTTACGACTGCCACTACCGACAAAATTGCGACCACGTTTCTGTGGCCCGTTCAAGATCATGAAGATGGTGACGCCGGTGACCGCCCAGTTACGCCTACCTGATGACTGGCGAATTCACAACAAATTCCACGTGAGTCTGTTGCGACCCTTCGTTCCTGACACGTCGGACATCGCTCGACAGCGATTGGTTTCAGATGTACGGCCACCAGCCGAGACAACCATCGAGCCTTCGAAGATCTTGAGCCATCGGATTCGTATCGACGGTCGTGGACGACACGTTGACTTTCTGATACGATGGACCAATCGTACCAGTGAGGATGACACGTGGGTGCCCTCGGACCAGATACAGTCACCTTCGATACTTGCAAATTATTTGGACCGCAAGCACGTGGCTGATATAGATCACCTTCGCTAAGGGGGGGGTGGTGTAAGGACTTTTCCATTCCTTACCGAGCGGTCCTGCTATCGCGTACGCTCGAACACACCCGAAGCCTCGGGACTGTTCCGGACCTTTCTGACAGAACCGCCTCGGCTTCTCCAGATCTGCTAGTTCGACCTTCGAGAGTTCTCCAGGCCTCGCTTCATCACTTCGAGACCCTTCGATCTCCTTCCCGAACCTTACCATCGCAGGGTTAGACTAGCTCTAGTGTTCCTATATCTTGGCTTGCCATTCCTTGTATCATCATTCATTGGGTGAACACTTCGTTATTCATTTCCGCGCTACTCTGCTTGTTCATTCATAACACACGTGGTGTTGACTCGCATCTTCGCTTGTTCCCAACTTGTCGCCAAAATTCAACCTAAATTTCGGCCCGAGAAAATGTTGCTTGGCGGAAGTCGCGCAGCGTCGGTTATGCCTCCAAGGCTCCTGTCTCCGTCGCTCTGCCTCACAGCTCCATACAAATCTGCAGCTCGATCTCATTTCTCACTTCACGACTTTCGTACTACTGTACTAGCTTCAAACTTAGTGCAAAGTTTGCACTGCTATCTTCACAGAAGCTAATCCTTCCTCTCCAACGCACCCCTCGCGTCGTGCTTCACCACACACAGACAAAGGAAGCACCAGGACGTCTCTCCAATCCTGCATCGAACGTGGCTCGTCTCTAACCGCCATCATCGTCCATCACCGTCCACCGTCGTCTCATATTCACACGCCCTCCCCACACGTTCCCCCCATACCCGTACGACTCGGAACAACCTGAATACACTTCTCCCTCGCGCAACGATGCTGACGTTCCTTCCGCCACCACCAGTGCAGCGAGCCTCATTCCCCGCCATCCGTTTCGCGCACTGCGCCGTCGTGCTCGTCCTCCTGGCGCTGGCGCTGCTTGCGCACCTCCCCCGCCACCCGATCCGCTCGATGCCGCGCCGCCTGCGCCGAGGGATATGTCCCCGGAGCACCCCGTCCGCGCCGATTCAGCCGCCGCCTTCTCGCGCGGGCTACTGGCGCTGGCGTCGTGGGCGGAGGAGGCGGTGCAGCGCAGCCGGGAGCAATGGCGGAAAGAGCAGCAAGAGGCGCAAGAGGCGCAGAGACGAGAGCAAGAGCAGGAGCCGCGGAATCAGCAGCATCGTGATGACTCGGTCAGGGACGGTGTTCCAAACGAATCGCGGATGATCCGTGTGGCTGCGTTTAACGTGGACCGCGCAGTGATCCTCCTCCACCGACTCGGAGTGAGGCAGCGGCAACAGCAGCATGATGATGATGATGATGATGATGATGATGATGATGATGATGATGATGATGATGATGATGATGATGATGATGATGATGATGATGATGATGATGATGATGATGATGATGATGATGATGATGATGATGATGATGATGATGATGATGCCATCAGTTATCATCCCCCTAAACATGATGTTCCCCGTGGAGAGCGGGAGATGCGAGCAGCTCAATTCCGAGTCGTGCTGCTCCCCGCGCCAGCGGAAGCAGGCCGCAACGTGACGTGGGACGACCTCTACCCGGAGATTAACTACGAGCGCTCCAACGTCACTTGCCCTGCTGTGCCCCGCGCGCCGTGGGAGGAGAACGAGGGGTACCATGACGTGGCAGACGCGGTGGTCGCGGTGGTTCCATGTCGCCCGGCGAACGACTCGCTCGCGAGGGACGTGCGATGGCTGCAGCTGATGCTGTCGCTCGCACGGTTCGTGAGTAAGGTGCAGAGAAGTGTAGAAGGTGGGGGGGGGATGCAGGGTAAGGTGTGGGGGAGTACAGGGCAGAGGAAGCGGGAGGAATGCAGGCTAGAATGTTGGGGGGGAGTGCAGGGCAGTACGGTGCGGGGGAATGCAGGGTAGTAAGATGCGGGGGAGGGCTGGCCAGTAAGGTGGGGGGGAATGGCTAAGCAGGTGACCATCACACCTTGCTGTTTCTTGCTCCTTACTTTGTCACGCTATCCCTCGCTCTCCCCCTCCCTCCCCTCCGTCCCTCCCTCCATCCCCATGCCACCCTCCTCCCTACTGCTCCCCCCCGCTGCTCCTCCCCCGCTGCTCTCCCCCCGCTGCTCCCCCCCCGCTGCTCCTCCCCCACTGCTCCTCCCCCACTGCTCCCCCCCACTGCTTCCCCCCCACTGCTCCCCTTCCGCTGCTCCCCCCCCCGCTGCTCCCGCAGTCCTGGCATCCCTGGCTGCCCGTTGCCATCGTCTCCCCCTGCCGCCCGCCGCCCAACCTCTTCCACTGCCACTTCCTCGTACGCGCGCAGCCCGCGGCCCACGGGGCGGAGGGCGACGTGTGGCTGTACAACGTGACAGCGAGCGACATGCGCGCGCGCATCCAGCCCGTGGGGTCCTGCGCGTTGGTGCAACCCACCGCCCACGCCCCAGGTGCGGTCCACTGCAGCCCACCTCTTGGTCTGGACTCGTTGTTCCTTTATGCCTCTTCAAACCATCGTCCCTCCGTGCCTCACCCAACCCTCGTTCCTCCGTGCCTCTTCCAACCCTCGTTTCTCCGTGCCTCTGCCAACCCTCGTTTCTCCGTGCCTCTGCCAACCCTCGTTCCTCTGTGCCTCTGCCAACCCTCGTTCCTCCGTGCCTCTTCCAACGCTCGTTCCCTCGTGGCTCTTCCAACTCTCATTTAGCCATCAGCCCGCCTCCATCGGACCCTCACACCCCGTTCCCTTCCCCGGCCTCTGCTCTGCTCTTCCCCTCAAGTTTCCACCACACGTCCCGCCTCGTTGGGCACTCCGCGCTTCGCCTTCGCCACCGTGCTGCACAGCAAGGGCGACTACGTCTGTGGGGCAATCGTGCTCGCGCACTCCCTCCGCGCCACCAGCCTCGCGCTGCCACCCGCCCTTTTCCCCAGCACCCCCGATAGCAGCGCGGCTGAAGGCGGAAATGCCTCCACCGCCAATGGCAGGGTTGGCGGAAAAGCAGGAAGTGGGGGAGATGGGGGGGACGTGGGGGGCATGGGGGAGACGGGGGCCATGGGGGACATGGGAGGCATGGGGGGCGTGGAGGGGAGTAATGGGCGCCCCGAGGCGGAGCTGTTGCGCTGGTGTCGGCGGAGGTGGGGGCGGAGAGCCGGAAAGGGCTGCAGGCGGCGGGATGGCGGATTGTGGACATCGAAAGGATGAGGAACCCGCGGGCCAAGAAGGGCAGCCACAGCTACAGGTCCGAGGCGCACCACTTGGGCACCATGGGTCATGACTTTGTGAACCCTTGCTTCCAAGAAGCGGAGCTACTGCAAATGGAGCTACAGGTGTGTGGCGGCGCGCTCCAAGGTGCCTGACGGGAGGTGGGACGAGAGCGGTAAGTGGGAAGGGGGGGCTCGGTGAGGTGCGTTCACTTGGAGTGCGGCAGGTGGATAACATGAGTCGCTGCGGAGAATTCTGGGGTGTGGGCTCTTCACCCATGCCATAGGTGATTTATGAGAATCCCAAAAATTACCTTTGCTTGCTGCTACTTGTCCGCTGTGGGCTACAGGTGGCACACTCGCCTCACACATAGGCAGGCTATGGCTGTGCTCCTGCAGCACCGGCCCCGTCTGTGTCACCAAACCTCGCCACCAGATATCACCACCTGTCAGCCTCTCTCCTCTTCCCGCATCTCTCTCTCACACTTCCCTCTCTCGCCCCTGCCTCCCCTCCTGCCGTGGCAGCAAGGTGTGGCTGCGCCTTTGATGGAGTACCTGCGAGCGCATTGTGTGTGTGTGTGTGTGTGTGTGTGTGTGTGTGTGTGTGTGTGTGTGTGTGTGTGTGTGTGTGTGTGTGTGTGTGTGTGTGTGTGTGTGTTTGTCTCAAACATCCACGGCAGCAAGCTGTGGCTGTGGCATTGACGGAGTTCGTATGAGCGCATTGTGCGTGTGGATGCTGACGTCTTTGCCCTGCGCATTGTGTGTGTGGTGCCGATGCTGATACAGTCCCCCCGCGCATTGTGTTTGTGTGTGTTTATCCATGGCAGCAAGCTGTGGCTGTGGCAGTTGACGGAGTACGAGCGCATCGTGAGTGTGGATGCTGACATGGTCGCCCTGCGCCCTCTCACGCACCTCTTCCTCTACCCCGAGCTGTCGGCCGGGGTGCGTTTCAAGGACGTGTTTCACTTCAACTCGGGCCTCATGGTCATACAGCCGTCGCTCTGCACCCTGGACTTCCTCCTGGCCAACATGCACACCATCTGGACTCATGATGGCGGAGACCAGGTGTGCATTGGCGCTCGGATGGGTGCTGCAGGGATGGGTAGCTGTATGGCTTGGTACGGCATGTTTGTGTGGACAGCACGTAGTTAAAGCCCGGTCGGCAAATGTGTCAGGATCTTATTGACTGGTTCGAGGTCTTGGCGTTTCCCTCTCCTTCAACCCATTTCCCTCTCCTTCCACCCATTTCCCTCTCCTTCCACCCATTTCCCTCTCCTTCCACCCATTTCCCTCTACTTCCACCCATTTCCCTTACCCACTTCCTCCCCTGTGCCTCCCTCCCAGGGCTATCTGAACAACGTGTTCACGTGGTGGCACCGCCTGCCCAGCTCCACCGCCGCCCTCAAGCTCATCATGACGCCGCAGGGACACCCTGGCCGCGACCGCGAAGTGGCTGCCCAGACTGCTCTCTTCTCCGCCGACCCCCCCCGGTTGGACGCCATTCACTACGTGGGGCGCAAGCCGTGGTACTGCTTCCGCGACTTTGACTGCAACCGCGTGCTGCTGTACATGCAGAGGTTTGTGAACGAGGCGGCGCACAGGCGCTGGTGGCAGGTGCACGACGGGATGGACGAGAGGCTCAAGCCCTGGTGCTGGCTGAGTGAGCAGCAGAAAGAGCGGCTGTGGGATGCCATGGGGCAGCGCAGGCAAGAGGGGGCTGACCCTGAGATGTGGAATTTCAGTGTCAGGGATCCGAGGAGAGACCTGGTGCTGCCTTGGGGGGTGGAAGTTGGGGGGAGGAAAGCTCGCCAACGAACGTGGAGCGAGTGGCTTGGACGTTTGACCCGGCACTAGCAGCAACTAGTTGACCTCCCTGCGCAAGCCGCCAGAAAATCAGTGCTCTCGCACGCCCGCCCTCAGGCTCAGCCGGGCCTCCCCCGTTCACCTTGGCAAGGGCGGTTGTGTCTGCGGCGCAATAGTTTTCACCACAGCATCAATGGTACCTCCGGCTTCACCGTTTTGCATGCCGGTCATGCGGCGCCATGCATTCCCTCCGCATGACCGCCGGCCCGGTCGCTCAATTCACCACAGCGCCAATGGTACTAGCGCCAATTTTCGAGGTGCCTCAAAATCAATGGTGCCAGCGCCATGGATTCCCTCCGCACCACGCCGTCAATGGCAGCACCATTGGCTGCTGAGCTCCGCCACTGACGCAAACACGATCGGCCATCTTCTGAGCCCTACCAGTGACTCAGCACCCACAGCGTGACTGACTCGGCGCTCTGCTGCAACTGCACCAGCAATGGGAGTGTCGAAGCCGGCAATGAGAACCCCTCTCGCGACAGCAATGCTGCAGCACCAATGCTGGTACAGCTGCCAGCTGTGACGTTTGATCACACCACGCACGATCCGGATTCAGAACGCCTAAGGTTAAATTCCGCAACCCTGCAGCATCAGATGCGGTGGTGCTGATTTCGTCAATCTCGTCCGTTATTCACAGGAAGGCAGCAGAAAAGATGTCAGCATGTGCTCAATTGCCACTGCTGCCGCCACGCATCGCAAAACTGAGCAGCAAAGGAGCAGTCTTGACGCGCGTGGAGGGAACGACCCTGATTCCGAGGCCGAGATGTGGTGCAGAGCAGCGGGGGCTGCGTGGAGTGGAGCTTGACGCTGCAAGTAAGAGGGCGAGCAGAGCGTCCAGGGTGGTGCTGGCAGCCAACTCAAGACGGCCATGGCTGCCTTGACTGCTGCTGTGAGAAATGATTCTGGTCATGGTTTAGAGAAGGCAAGATCGTTTCTGAAATAAAAATAAATAAAATAATTTGAATAAAAAATCCGGAAGGAGGGTCAGCAGCAGATGGACGCCACTGGGGAATGCAAGTGGGTTGGAAGGGTGTGGGTGGGGAAGCATGATGATGGCAGTACCATTTTTGCACCCTGCTTTTGCAGGGTGTTTGTGGGAGTGTGGATTGCTGAAACCAGTGGAGGGTGGAAGGCCTGACAAACAGCTGCTATGCTGTTGGGGTAGGGAGTGCTTTCGAAGTGAAAGAATGATTAGAATGGTAGGATTTGTTAGAATAGCATGGTGCCGGTGTTAGAAAGGAAGAATGAATGACTAGTGTGAGAAACCTAGAACATGTACCTGTTTGGGTTGTACTCACTAGAAGCACACACCTAGGCTAACCTATACCTTCTACATACAGCATATGTATAAGTTGACACACCCCCTAGGCTAGAGAAGGGTGGTGCTAAGCAAGAAGCACACAGCTCAGGGCGGCACTACTAGTCCAACCACTGAGGCAGGGGTCCGGAGACCAGTCAGCAAAAGTACAAACAAAACTAAAGCAAACTAGGGCGGCACTACTAGTCCAGCCATTGGGGGCAAGGCCACAAGGCCAGTCAGACAGGAGTATATATGTAGTAGAGAGTACACAATCAGGGTCCTAACAAGTGAGTAGCTACAGGAACAAGACCAAGCTGCACACAGTGCCGCTGATGATCTTTAGGCGCAAGCGCCTTCGTAAAGATATCAGCTGTGTTGGCACCGGAGGCCAAGTGAACTACGCGGGCCTAGCGACGCCGCTGTAGCTCGCGCAGGAGGAAGTACCGCAGCTCGATATGCTTCGTCCTGCCCTCAAGCCGAGGCTCCTGGCATAGGAGAATCATGGCCCTGTTGTCAGCGTACAGGACCGGGGCAGAACTAGGCCGCTCACCTAAGTCTGTGAGCAAGAAGGTAAGCCAGCGGAGCTCCTGTGCCGCCATGGCACCAGCGTAGATCTCAGCCTCACAGCTGGACTGAGCAACAGACGACGAGTGAGTGGATCTCCAAGAGATAGCACCTGAACCAAGGCTAAAACAGTAGCCCTGAGAAGACCTGAGAGTCTCAGAGACTCGTAGTCGAGGGAGTGAAGCTCGTAGTCGCGCTGTGCTGCGATGTGTAGCAGTGCCCGAAGAGTAGTCATCTTCGGGGTCCGGGCAAAGGTCTGGAAAAACTCCACCCCCTCGCGCTGGCTGAAGCCTCTAGCCACGTAGAGCGGCTTGAAGACAGGCAGCTCTCCAGGGGGGCGCTTCACCTTGAAAAGCCACCGACCATCGACTACGTTCACCTCAGGAGGGAGAACTGCGTCGACGTAAGTGCCGGTGGACCTCCAAGATGCCATCTCCTGCTCCATGGCAGCTATTTACTGAGAGGCCCAGGGTCCCGAGGTGGCCTCAGCATAAGTGCAAGGGGTCGGGATGTCGAAGGCGTCTGGGTCACCCTCAGGGACTAGGAGCATGGAGCAGAGATGGGGAGCGGCCTCGTAAAGGAAAGCAAGCTCGTACTGTCTATCCTCTAGTACGTCACTGCCAAGGGCAGGTGCACCCTCGACGGACACAGGACGGGCAGGGTCAGAGACCAGAGCTGTAGCGTAGTTAAGGCGGCAAGTAGAGGCGAAGTCAGCGACAGCAGCGACAAGCGCGTCAAGGCGCGAGACAGGAACAGGCGGGTCTGTAACAAGAGAGGCAAGGACCCGAGGGACGAGGGGACGAGCGGCATGGAGGTAGTCAGACAGCGGGGGAGGTGCAACAACAAGCGACGAGGGAGGAGGCGAGGGGAGGGGGGGGGGACAAGACGAGTGAGAACGGAGTAACATAGGGTGGGAGCGAGGGACAGGGGAGACGGGACGGCGAGACCAAACTTGGGACGGAGGTGTAGGGTCTGGAGACAGTGGGGGGACACAAGAGGGGAACGAGGAGGAAGACGGGCCGGAGAAGAGTCCGGGGGCGGGAACACAGGGCCGTAGACAGGAAGGTGAGGAGGAGGTGGAGGAGACGCCGGCACGCGGTCGGGGGAGGGAAGGCCGAGCAGGCGAAGAGCGGAGACCGGTGGCGACAGCTGCGGCGGCGGCGGCGACGGCTGGGTCTCGACCCGCGGACCGGCAGGGGCACGACGACCACCGGGAGAACACTCAACAGCAGCACCCCCATAACCAACACCCCCAAAGCAAGAACCCCCTCCAACACCAGCGGCATCCCTAGGCCCGCCCGGACACACCACGCCAGAAGCCGCAGGACGAACACCCTCCTCAACGCCAGCACCCCCAGAGGCCAAGAGCGGCAGCTGCGGCGGCGGCGGCGGCGGCTGCGACGGCGGCGACTGCGACAGTGGGGGCGGAGACACCGCGGAAGGGGGGCACAGCAAGGACGGATTGGGGGGAGCACCAGAGTCATCAGACTCCTCAACGGGGACAACCGAAGGGAGGGGAGTGACGTGGGAGACACCAGACGGGGCAAGACGAGGCGGGAGGGGAGGAGGGGCTACCGGTGGAGGGGGAGCAAG